TTCTCTTCATGTGCGATAGAGAAGCACTGCTTCCTTCAAAGACTTTGAGAATATGATTTTTGTATTATATAATTTTTTTTGGTAAATTTGACTCAGTTTTAGTTATAGAGCTAATTAGAGAGTTAGTGTAACTAATTATAGTTTTAATAGTAAATAGAGGTAGTTTATCGACGGTGTGACGTGTGAGTCGGCAATCACATATCTTGTTTGCGGTGTCTGAAAATCTTCGCCTCAATGTTATTTTTTTTAAAGGAGAACAAATTGACATCATTCCTTGAAATTTTTGCAGAATTTTCTTCGTACAGAGAAGAAAAATGACGGCAGTTTTCACGAATTACCGTTGAATAGTTTTCCGTTTAAAAAATAAAGTATGACGGAAAGTCTGTGACGACGCAAACCGAATTATGTGATTGCCGACTTACACCGTCGTTATGTTTTACAAGAAAGAACGAGGGGGAAAACGAGAAACAAGGTTAAAAATACATAATAAAAACCGAAACGTTTCGGCTCAAAGCTGAGCCATTTTCAGTCGGAGAAAAATACTACAAAACATAACAAAAATTACGGGAAAATCTGAGATCTAATGATGGTGGTCGCGGATAACTTACAAAATCACTGCTTATTTCTTTAACTGAGCCTTCACCAAATGAGGACTTATATGTTACAATGGCGAATGTGCAAAATTACCTTTTTGAAACACGTTCAAAAAACTGTTTTGGCATCGAGAAAATTTTGAGAAAATACTTGTGATGTGATCTTCGAGATCTGTGCATTACGCTAGGGGCAAACATATTACATTTTTGTGTGACCAAAACAGTTTTTTAAGCGCGTTTCGAAGAGGTAATTTTTACATCCGCCATTATTAAATGTAAAGCCTCAAATACTTTGATTGACTGAATCCACAGCAAAGTTTGAGTAAAACCAATGACAAATTTGGACGTTAAATAATAAAATATGACCTGTAAAACTAATTTCGATCGACGTTCTTGTCTAATCTAGTTGCACCGTTATGCCTCTCGGCAATGAGAAAATTGTGTTTTTATTGCACATTTCGCGAATTAAAATGAAATAGGGAAGTACTTAAGTGTTGAGTATACTGAAACATGGAATTTCCCACCCAGTCTGTAAAAGAGTCGATGTTAATGGAAGCGCCGTGTTTTATGACCTTCTCCTAAGTATCTTCCTCGGAGGAGATCGTATTTGTTCCTTCCTTCAGGAGCATAACTAGCGATGAGCAAGGTAAATTTACTCGCCATTGAAAACATCAGTTTTAAATTAGCGTTGTCACTGTATGATTTGGACTCACAATAAACTTTACATTATGCCGATGACCATTCAAGCATTGTTGTCGATATTGGTGTATCGATATTTTGATGTTACGTTGACGAGCTGATAGATATATACGAACTAAAATATTTCCCCTCTCTGGCATGATGTAACGTTTTCGTTTTCGATGAATTTTTTTGTTTTTTAAAACTAGAATCATTCCTCTGTGGCATGCTGTTGTAACGAGGTGCTGCAGGATTAAAAATTAGTTACGGCTGCCAATTATTCATTTATTTCCTTGCGGATCTAAATCCAAATTATCCTGTAGATTTCAGTCAAGATATGCTACTGCTTTGGACTCTTCAATTATTCCTTACCCATTGATACTTTACCAATAAAAAACTTGGAAACATTGATAATGTTACTCTTAAAGGGTGAAAAAAATTAGTTTTCTTCGAAAAAAATAAATCAAAAAGATGATTTCGGAACACTACGAGAAACTTCATTCACAATAGTTTCCCCATTGATGTAGGTATCTACGTGTTAGTTCGTCATCCAGATAGATGAGTCACAAAGCGACCTGCATTATGAGCAACTGTCTGATGAGAAAATGGAAAAAGACCTACTGAAGAAATTGCGTCGATTGCACGTTAGTTCACTAGTCCAATGCTCCATGACCATCCCATTTTTTTCTTCATTGAAGATCCCATTCCAAAATTTCGCGGGTGCCAAGTGCAAGTACATTCCACCTCTTCGAGCGTGCAGGTATTTAAAAAGGAATATTTTTTCCCATTCGGCAAAGCTGCTTCAGCGATCCCAGATTTTAATCTTTTCCGATCTTCCACACATGTCTACTCTTCATCTATTGTGTCGGTCCTCGACTTCAATTTCGTACTTTTCTCTCTTCGACACTGTGACCGAGTCCATCGGCTAATTGTTTCGAGGTATAACATACGCCTGTATACCTACAGTTTTCGTGACCCACAGTCAATAAAGTTTCTCGTTTCGACAGGATGTTGAGATGGTGCTGAGTCCATGACATCATGAAGGAAAAACAAGGCCAAGAAAATATGAAAATTAAAAATCAGGATTTTGGAATGAGATTCAATTAAGTAAAGAGTGGAAATCCAGAATCTGATGAATGCAATTTTACCATTGTTCATTTAAATAGTTTTCCTCGTAGGACCTAAACTTCTATATAAACTTTCATCGGGAGTAATATACATGAATAAAAATCATCACTAACTCTCTGATTTCATCGGGAGGCAATGCTGCCATGCTAAGGAAGAACGCCATATGAACATTCGAGAGTTGCCAAATTTCCTCCGATAGAATTTTTATTTTTGAGGAAAGTTATGAATATTTTTGCTTGAAATTTTCAGGAACGTTAGGTAAACTTGCAGGCAAAATTATCTGAAAAATTGGAAGGAAAATATTCGTAAGTTTACCAGGTAATTCGTGTTTTATCAGAGGAAATTTGGCAACGCCTGGAGGTTTATACGGCGTTTTTCTTTAGCACGGCAGAATGCTGCTCCAGATTTTATGAAGAAAACGCCACTGGGAGAGAGCGTCATCTGAGGTTAACTCAGTTTTGTGCTGATACATTTTAGAGTTTTATTTTATTATGATACTTTAACTTTTTTATTTTATTTTCTTCTTTCAAGCTTTGTTGCCAGGGGTTAGTGGGGGCAATGACGATTTTGTAAGTTGGCAATACTGTTTTTCCTACATTTAATTCCATTAAAAATATCGATTTCCAAGAAGCACCAAGAATCGATTGTTTTACATACATTTAAATGAAGAAAAAACAGTGTTGCCGTCTTTCGAGAATCGCCAATGAGTGTGGGTGTGGGCTGCCAGGGCTGCCGTGCTAGGAAAAAACGCCGTATGAACCTTCAGGCGTTGCCAAATTTCCTTTGATAAAACAAGAATTTCCTGGTAATCATATGAATATTTTCCTGCCAATTTTCCCAGATAATTTTGTTCGCAATTTCACCTAAAGTTCCTGAGGATTTCAAGGAAAAATATTGATAACTTTCTTCAAAAATATACATTTTATTGAGGGAGATTTGGCAACTCTCGAATGTTCATACGGCGTTCTTCCTTAGCACGGCAGTGTGGATCCACGACTATTCTACATGTTGTGCGATGATATTCGGCCCCCTTTACCTCTATAAGAATCTCCTTGTAAGCTTGTCCTGCAATTTGGCCGCTGTAGTCTGGTCGTGTCTAAATTATCTACCACGCGAGTGAACATTTTCAAAACTCCACGAAGTACAGGAAATCAATAGTATAAGAATGCATGTTTGAACGTAAAAAATAATTTAATACTCCAATAATAATTATATATAAAAAAATATAGCCTGTGCAAGTAACAAAGTCGCAATTTAACATTTTAACAATCAATTATTAAATAAAATATATCTTCTTCGCGCGTCAAAAATCCCTCGTAGCGTATACAAAAACACTGGAATTTACAATTATAAGAGGGACCAAAATGTTGGCATAAGGATTTTGAGTGTGAAATTTTTTGCCACTTTTCACTTTCAGGAGTCTCCAACCATAATATCCTCACCAAGGATCCTTTTGTCTGATTAAATTCGACAGGGGATAACAATATGACCTGGAGCTGGCCAGTGAAAATTATCTGCAGTGAAACCAGAAAACTCTGCGGCGTCGAAATGATCAAAATAAAACTTTATTCGGTATGTCAAAAAGTTCGGCTGTGAAGTATTCGACGCAGCTGAACAAAGTCTGTGCAATTCGCTCAGAATCTATTTTTATTAACCCCCTTTTAGATTCATAAGCCCCCCCCCCCCTCAGGGAGGCTGGGGAGGGGGAGGGGTCGAAACCATGAAATTCGAACTCCTTGGGATCTATTCCCTACTCAATCCCACGGTCTCTGACCGCGCCCGATCTGAATCAACCGATAAAAAAGTCTGATATGGTACCGATTGTCAGTCGTCGGACGACGAGGGTACTCCCCGCTAATTTGAAAATTGGCGCGTCAATTTGTATATTGGCGCGTCAAGTTTTGCAAAATTGGCGGGAACCAATGGGAGTGGATGTTTTGTTTACATTCGCGTTATTTTGAAAACGAGGTTATAAAGAAGTAAACAAACGTGGTTCTCTTTCTTGAAGGAAGTTTGGTGTATAAGTCCTTTTAATATTTTAATTTAAATTGCTTGAGGTCTTTAATTTTTTGCACAAGTGCGAAGTGTCTATCTCAACCACATCCTTCCAGAGAATAATCAGTTCGGTGTTCCCTCGTTTCATCTCCAAGTTTACAAGAGGACAGCTCAATGTGTGCTCTCAAAGAATCTGTAAGTTATCACTCATAGATCTATCACTCCTACTTGAAGTTTCACTTGCACTGTACCTACTGTTTGAAATTATTGAGATTTCAAAATTCTAGGAAGCTTCAAACCCTCCAGTTTGGTTTGTTTCTCCATGAATAGCTTTATTATCACCAGGGATTCACCTGTTATATTGTGGTCCACCTACTCCAAGTGTCTATTTATATCAGTGTCGCTTTGTTTATACTCTCAGTCACCTTAAGTATGGTTTTCCTTGCTGAGAGTTAGCAAGCCTCTTGCCTGGAAATAAGATTATGAAAGGTCTCACAATTACCTAGTCAAACTCAGAGTCGGTAGTGTATATTGTGAACCGGCCATAGTTAGATTATCCGATGATTTATACCTATACCTCTAGGAGTGATAACAGGGTGGAATAAATTTTCCTTGAAGCTTTTTGGTTTAGGCTTGTATTGTTAGAGATGGATAACAGAACAGTTAATCTGATAAAAAACAGGCTGATAAGACTAACTGCATAAAGGCTGTCATGAGCATTCGCAATAAATGTCAAAATTGATAAGTGTTAGACTTTCTTTCCGTCAAATCTATTTTTCTCCTATGGCTCACTGCTTTGCAGCAAAAAGTTAATCATCACTGGTAAAACCCACTAGAATGTGGACATGTGAGGAGCATCAAATCGAATCGTATTATCAAGGTACAACGAACACAGGAATCGGTGAGGGTATTGCTGGTTGCATTTTGAGTTTTTGTTCGGTTCCCTTGTGTCACCTTAAATGAAATAAAGGAGAATTCTTGTGATAATATCGTTAGAAAAAGTTTGTGTAGCTTATTGACTTAGTGAGCCCCAAAATGGTACTCTCTGCGGAGCTTGATTCCTTCAGGCTGAGTTTCATTTACAATTGTTGTTTTCCGCTTCTTGAGCAGACAGGAGTGACGTCATCTCTTAACTGGAAATCTAAGGTCTGTACCCTGTAGATTGGCTTCTGTCCACTTTTCTATTTCCTCCAGTAGCTCAGGGGTCATTTCTGGATCGCCTCCGCCAACTTTCCCTGGAACCACAATTAATAAAATCATGAATTCCTTATACCATATTGTAGGTACATTATAATGCCATAGAAGTATTAGTGTTGTTATGAAAACAATATGGAATGCATTTAGAGTGAAAAATGGCTTTGTGATTTTATGACACTCAAGTTCTTAGGTGAACAAGAAGTTTTTAGCAGTAAGATACACCCACTAGCTCTGAAGCAATTGATTGCTGGAGAAAATTAGTTCCATCAAAAAAATAATAATAATATAAAAGATCTTCAATACCTTTGGATTTTTTTTTTTTTTTTTTTTTTTTTTTTTTTTTTTTTTTTTTTTTTTTTTTGCGGAAAATATTTTTCAGACCTTACACAGGATGATCGAAAAGTTTGAACCCTCCTCTTCTTCGCTGCTACTTAAAGAAAGTTGTACTTAGGTGTCGGAACTTTTGAAGTTACTCCTCAATTAATAAAAGCTACATTTGTTTTCTGTGATGCAAACGCTGTCATTCACTTAAATCACCTCCCCCTTTTCTCCTACCCACATTACTCTTAAGTTAATCGGTACCTTCTCGAATAAAGTCTCCTTCATTTTCAGCAAAAATTCCTTTCAGTTCTGGCCAAACGGGCACATTCTGTCGAAAATTTTCGATTTTTAAGTGATCAACCAGTTGCTGGAATTGTTCTTCGGAATACTGCAAGTCCAGAAACTTTGCGATTCTCTTTATCTCCAAACGCAAATCCTAAAATCAACAACACATTACTTAGTAAATAAATACAGCTAATAACACAGGTAAATAATTTCCAGCTTGCTCACTTCGCCAATTCATGTTATCAATAGTATAGCTAAACATTGTCTGTTTAATATTAAAAATAATTGAGACAGTGAGAGCACCTGCACCAATGAGAGTACTTGCTTGTTGCATTCTGCACACGTTTTTTTTTTGAAAAACAACCTATAACTCGTTCACCATTCCGACGCGACGATGCAAATCGCCGCTCATGTTTTTATCTTTTTTAAAAGACAACTTTGTAACCAGTAGTTTTTCTAGAAATTTTACACTCTGTTCCGATGGTGATTTAGGTCATTATTTCGTTTTAGAATTGCTTAGTCGGAGATTTTAAAATTATACTATTGACTATACTCGCACATTTTTCGAATTTGTATCATTATTTCGCCAATGCATGTTAAAGTTACTGTAAGTATTTTTACACTGTGAATTTGTTGATGCGCCCCATGCATTGTCTTTAATTAATGTAAAGTACCAACCCTCGATAAATGCTCGTAAAATAAAAATAGCATGTTTGGATGATTGCGTCGAGCCCAGGCTTGTCGCAAATGTTCCCAGTATGGACTGAAACAAACTGAAAAAAATAAAATCTGATTATTTGCGAACATGCAACCAGATTAGACAGAATATGTAAGAACATTCGCGTATACTGCCGTGCTATGGAAGAACGCCGTATAAGCCTTCAGACGTTGCCATATTTTCTTCAAGAAAAACCGAATTTATTGCGAAAATTGTGAATATTTTTCATCAAATTTTTCAGTCAATTTTTTTTTACGATTTAATCTAAAAAGATCTGAAAATTTCAAGGAAGAATATGCATAACTTTTCTCAAAAATACATGATGTATTCGGAGAAATTTGGTAAGTCTCGAATGTTCATACGGCGTTCTACCATAACTTATAGGTTACTCATAACATTCAACAATATTAAATATCATTCGCATATATCTCATAACATTTAACAATAATAAATAATATTCGCGTGTAATTTCCTTTTAAAAAAGTGATAGGTATTTCATAATGTTTTTTTTCTTTCTTTACACTTTTCAAACATTTTAAGTGTTAAAAATAATTGTAAAGTTTTTAGTAGTTTTACAATTTTCTAAATTAAAATTTATATAAATTCAAAGATGGTTTTCTAAAACATAAATTTTATTTTTCTGCCGTGCTAAAAAAAAAAACGCCTTGTGAACCTTCAGGCGTTGCCAAATTTCTTTGGATAAAACACGAATATCATGGGGTAAACTTGTGAAAAGTTTTGTTCCAACTTTTCAGATTATTTTGTGCGCAATTTCACCTGAAGTTCCTGAAAATGTCAAGGAAAAATATTCATGACTCTCCCGCAAAAATAAACATTTTATCGAAGGAAATTTGGCAACTCTCGAATGTTCATACGGTGTTCTTCCGTAGCATGGCAGTTTCGTGAGTTGTCTCCTTCAAAGTTACAAGTTTTCCGTAATAAAGAACACAAAACGGAAAGAAGAGTGGGAGGAAAAGCAAACTTAAAAACCGAAATCCTTGCCTATTTTTAATCAGTGATTGAAGGGAGAGTAAAATAATGGGATGGAAAGAAGCAGTAACGAATCGTCACTTGCCATTTCAGTCAATCGATAAATCGATTAATCGCAGTAACAGTGGTCGACGGTTTCGTCTTGTTTTTCACGTTTCGCTTAAGGTGATTCGATGGACGCCATATTTTGTGTCAGAACGGCATGCGATATATCGCGTCAATTGGTTCCATGTTTTCAGCTACTCGTCATTTTTTTCCAATTTTCAGATCGCAATTCTGTTGTCAGGAGACTAAAGCACTCACTTACACATTTTAACAAAGAAATTCAACGTAATAAAGGCGTGGTTTTTTCAGAGAGAAAACATCGCATTCGATACTGATATTGAAACTACACTCGAATGCGATATTTTCTCTCTGAAAAAACCACGCCTTTATTACGACGAATTTCTTTGTTGAAATTTGTAAGTGAGTGCTTTAGTCTCCTGACAACAGAATTGCGATCTGAACATTGGAGAAAAATGACGAGTAGCTGAAAAAATGGAACCAATTGATGCGATATATCGCATGCCGTTCTGACACGAAAAATGAAGTCCATCGAATCACTTTATCGGATCAAATGAAGTTATCATCACTAACCTAGCTCCTCCTTGAAAAATTTCCAGTAGGATTGCATGTCACCTCGATATCCGTGATATAAAATATTGACAAGTTTGTTATGGTGATAATACGAGATGAACACATCTTTTGGGTTCCGTGCCACGTAAATAACTTTGCTAGTTTCAAGCAAAGATGGAGAGAGGAGAGTGAAAGGCATGTGGGTCTTGATCACTCGTGGACTTGGTAAATCGGCACAATATTCATAGCCGGGAGTCCATATGTAGTTCAGGTACTTTACGATTGTAGGATCCTGGTTCAAGTCAAGATAGTGCTTCTTTAGATCATCATTGTAGAGGAAACTAAGCCTGCAAAAATGAAAGAGTCAAATTATCTCTTTATTTGATCATTTTTCATCAGAGAACTGAGAATGTGGTTCCCACATTGTTTAATGTGTTTTTCACATTGTGGTAATTGGAAGTTAAAAATACTTTTATATACTAATAAAACTAAGAAGTATTTTTGTTTATATTAAACAATTAATCATATCCCTCATCAGTAAACAGTTAGATAAAGACATAGTCAGATAATATCAACAAAATGTCAGTATCAAACAGAATACTCAAACCCGTGTAGACTTATTAGCCTAAATTTTTTTCCGACTCACTGAGTTATTATGACAACTAAAAAAACTAGGTAATCACCTGATATCATGACGGCACGGCGGTGACATGAACGTGTACTGCCGTGCTAAGGAAAACACCGTATAAACCTTCAGGCGTTGTCAAATCTCCTTTGAATAAACTAGAATTTCCAGGTAAACATATGAATATTTTCTTTTTGATTGTTTACACAGTTTTGTTCGCAATTTCACCTAAAGTTCCTGATAATTTCAAGGACAAATATCCATAATTTTCTTCAAAAATTAATATTTTACTGTAGGAAATTTGGCAACTCTCGAATGCTCATACGGCGTTTTTCCTTAGCATTGCAGTGTAGTAAGGCCGATACAGAACACCGTACCATACGGTTCTTATGACTGAGTCCTTTCCCTCGGTTTAGCAGTTTTACAGCCCTTTTGTTCTATTACGGGCCAGACATACATTTCAGAAAATATGTCTTACACTATGTTTTCTATCAACATCTGATTGCTTCAGAATATGTTTACATATTACAGGGTTGCCACAGTCAGGAAATACCGAAAAAACCTGGAAAAGTCAGGAAAAATGACAAAAATATTGGGGGAAAATTGTCAAGTCACCTTTATTTGCATTTTAGAATGGGTTTGACGTCTCGAACAACAAATGATGCCCGAAAACTATTTCAAATCATGCATTTTGAAGCATCTGGCGTATCCTCAATTGGACCGAGTTCATCAGAAAGGAACCAACCCACATTAAGTTGAAACTGAGAAACATAGGCTTAAAGTTTCATTCCTGCATAAGGCTCCATGCAAAAAATAAACTTTAACCCCTCTTTTCACAAAACAATTTTTGTTTTTAGACTTTCAGTTTTTGACAGGAGAAAATTTACGGCTAGTGAAATTCAAACATGTGACAGAGAGATCGAGGAAATGGCAGGTAATTTCATTTTCTGAATACTGTGGCAACCCTGCGTTTTTTTGGTTTTTTTTTTCTTTTTTTGTAGCGTTTTTTGGAGCGACAAAGCGTCATCTGCTGAGAGCCAGTTGTTTTGCGGATTCCGTCGTTTGTTTTGGTGTAGATGTTTAAGCTCGCTCGCGAATAAGTAGCACACGCGACAGCGGCGTGTTTTGCGATTTATCGACTGATCTGCCCTTTAAACCTATGAAAAATGATCGATAGACAGGGTGTTCGCAACGAGCACCTTAATAATCGATTCTTTACCCCAGCTTCAAATGGGGGAATATCGATAATCGATCATTCACGCCTCGCCACTGACACGCGATTGCGTCTCATCGATGAGCTCATTGGAACTGGCAATCGGACGATGCCTTTTTTCCGACTTAGAGCTGTGCGATATACAGGGTGTCCCGGGATTAAGTACGAATATTGAAGGAGTCGATTCTTTGGGTCAAAAGAAGACGTTTTTGTGGTATTACTTTTTTCCCGAAAAACGCTGATTTTTGGTAATCATACCTTTAAAAATGCTGTTGGTTTTTTTATCGCAACACTCAAAAATTCACTTAATCCAGTACTTTGAACTATGACTCAAAAATTGAATCGATACGAAAAAGTATGTACGAAGGGAAAGGAAGAAATACTTGATCTCTTTATATGTCCCTGACCTTTAGATTGGTAAATATATTCAGGTTTGTTTTTTTCTGTTTTTAAGAAGTCAATTTATTAGATCCAAGAAGTTCCTTACTCAAAAAACGGCGACCTTTCCGACAGTAAGCTCTCTGACGATTTTTTGAAGTCTAAATCGTTCTTCATTAGCCAGATCAGCTCTTGGCACCATGTTGTGCCTGGAATAAAATTATGATATTAGACAATTTGGAAAATTAATACAATTCATTTATAATGCATTTAGAGGGAATTATGAACCTTTATTTGATGAAAGACACTAATTATTTGGAAAACGGTACCAATATTACTTCATGGAAACGAGAAATCCGAGAATTTTTACACTGAAACATGAGCAGAAACAAAAAAATCCAAACATAGCTATAAATATGAGGTTTTTATCGGTTTCTATGTTGTCAGTAATGTAAGAACAGTAAATTTTTACGTAGAATGAAATCAAGAGGACAATATAAACCGTGTTAATCTCAGATTCCTTGTTTCCCCTGTTCTAATAGTGAGCTGTCCAGCCCCTCCACCACTTACGATTTTAAGTACTTTGATTTGCTGTTTCATGTCGAGATAGCAACTCTGCCGTGCTAAGGAAGAACGCCGTATGAACATTCGAGAGTTGCCAAATTTCCTTTGATAAAATGTTTATTTTTGAGGAAAATTATGAATATTTTTCCTTGAAATTTTCAGGGACTTTAGATCAAATTTCGAACAAAATTCTCTGGAAAATTGGAACAAAAATATTCACAAATTAACCAGGTAATTCGTGTTTTATCAAAGACAATTTGGCAACGCCTGAAGGCTCATACGGCATTTTCCCTTAGCACGGCAGAACTTGTCAAGCTATAAACGTGCCAAGAAAAAATGTAGATATAATGAAAACACTGTTCACGCGCACAAATTATATTTATTACATGTGATAACCGTGCGCGTTTTATCTAAGGTCTCGAACAACTCGTCGCCTACCTGACATAAGGGCGTAACTACACTCTGCAATGAACCCTGACTTCCATACATTACAATGCTTTTCCGGGCTCATCTCAATGTGTAGTTATGTCCTTTTGTCAGCCAAGCGGAGTCAGTTGGAGTAGGGCGGGACCGCCTTTAAGTATTTTTAACTTACAATTTAGATGTCGATGGCAATTCACTGGAAAGAAAAAACACATTGGATCTAGAGTCCAGACTCTTGAAAACATTGACAAGAAAAAGAACTCTTGATTCAATCAGATTTAAGCTTAAATCAAAAGGAAATCCGCTCAAATTAAGAGGCTTGCTTCTTGATTTAAGCTTAAATCTGATTGAATCAAGAGTATTTTTCTTATCGATGTTTTTAATAGTCTGGACTCTAGATCCAATGTGGTTTTTTTCCTGTGTAGTAAAAAAAGCATATCTTTTATTGCATCGTTGGATATCTTGTTTCATCTCTTCAAGAGAAAACTAAATAACTGCTTCTTTTTCGTGCGTTTCCTTTTTTTCAATTTTCTGTGAATTTTCTGCATTTATTCAATAAGATTCAGAAAATATAGGAATGATGTTTGAGTTACCTTTCTTACATGGAATATTCCAAAAGATCCCATCGAAAAAGTCTATAATAAATCATTATTGGAGGTTTAAAACGGTGCAATAAACGTCCTCAAAAATTTCCGACTCTGATATCGATAGGAACGGTCAAAAAATTTGAATATCCATTTGCGTCGTTGCAAACCTTCGCTGAGGTTTCATTTTTTTGAAACTCAAATTTACTGACAGCTCTTGATATTTTTCGTGAATTTATTTCCTGCCTTCAATAATATTCATACCAAAGTTCGAAGAAGGTGTTCATGTTTTTCTCTTTAAAAAAAAAAATGGGAAAAAACTCTTTTTCAAAAAATAAAACTTGTAACCGGAGATTTTTAAACTTCAGTGGCGTGGCGTACTGTGCGATATATTGATCGATTTCTCATTTAAACCTATGAAAAATGATCAATACACAGGATGTTTGCAAAGGTCTTGGTAATAATCGACCACAGCTTCAAATGATCAGATATTTATAATCGATCATTCACGCCTCGCCACTGTTAAACCTTGCAATGTAGGTACACATTTTCTGTCTAAACCATCGATATTTTTTTGATGAAGGATTATCAGGGATTCATATAGGATTTTGAAGCGTTACCTGATCGTGGAAAAGTCATTATCCAAACATCATCAGACCTCGGAGGAAAATTGTAGTAACCGGCAGCCTGCTCGGCGTATTTTGCGGGCAGCATCCATTTCTCCTTTCCAACTTGAACAAATCCATCTTTCCCACCTATGAAATGATTCGAGAGCTTTTCATGAATGTCTGGGCTGACATTTTTAATCGTGTGTGGGAACATATTCTGCAGCCAACGCACGCGGCCATGAAAAAGGCAAAAAAGTTAATACAAAAACAGAAACGGTTTCAAGCTTTTGTGTCTCATGAAGGTATATTTTAGACTTTTTCGATTTGCTTACTGGTATTAACGTATAATTTAACGTGAAATTGTGACTCTCATTTTAAGTTTTGGGCACTGAAAAATTTAAAAAACCTTTGATCCATAATTTACTACGTATAAGGAAACGGCAATTCCTTTCAAATTTTACAAATATGTCTGGTATTTTGGCGTTCTCGGGAAAATAGAACGTTACTGCAGTTCAATGTTGCAAAATTGCCACTCGCAAATTATGTTTTTACTTGTAAAATGTTCATCGTTTCTAACTGAAAATCTCTCACGTTAACCTCCTGGTTACAAGTCAGGGAACACCGGAAAATGTCAGGGAATTTTAAAAAGTCAGGGAAAACCTGGAAATGTCAGGGGAAAATTGTCAATTCACCCTTATTTGTGCTTTAGAATGGGTTTGACGTTTTGAACAACACATTTTGCCTGAAAACTTTTTCAAATTATGTATTTTCAAACATATGGCATATCTTCAATAATTGTCAGGAAATTTCACACAAATATGTGCACTGGAAAAAAAAAAAAAAACACATTGAATCTTGAGTCTAGACTCTTAAAAACATCGACAAGAAAAAATACTCTTGATTCAATCGGATTTTTGCTTAAATCAAGAACCAAGCCTCTTAATTCGAGCGGATTTCCTTTTGATTTAAGCTTCAATCTGATTGAATCAAGAGTATTTTTTCTTGTCAATGTTTTTAAGAGTCTGGACTCTAGATCCAATGTGTTTTATTTCCAGTGCAAATATGTCAGGGAAATGTCAGGGAATTTTATCTTCCAATTCTGTAGCAATCCTGGTATTATGAATCGACTTACCTCGTCTAGTGAAGTTAATAAATTCAAAATTTATCCAATTCGGTGTAAAAACACATTATATCCACTAACTCCGCAAAGCCGCGATTCGGTAAAACACGCACATTCGCGATCCGGAATCCGCTTGAGTTATAAATCCAATAGCCGGGGCGCTTTGAAAAGCTTGACAACTAGCAACGATAAAGCTCAACGGAAGAGTACCTACGATTCAGATAAGACTGTTTGGGAGGCAAATGAGTTGGAGTGGGGACACAGTCGACGACGCGATTTGACATTGAATTTTTTTTCCTGCCCAGTTCCCAGTTCGTATCGGAACTGCATCGTTACAGAGGCTCGACGCCGCGCCGGGCGCGGGCGAGTTCAGCCTCGAGCTCTGGCGCCGTCGCCTCGCCGCCGATATTTACATATTATGATAATTATGTTTTCGTTCTGTTTGTCCGGCGTTTCTTTCTCTATTTTTTACGCGTTCTGACTTTTCTCGTGCATTTTTTGCTCCTCGCGAGGAGCCGACGAACTTTTGGTGCAGCGAGGAGGTTGGAACTGCATTTTTTAGTGCACGCTGAAGGCGACAATAGACCGGATTCGATAGTGGTTCGATGTATCGTTTGACTAAAAACAATAGAACATAACCTCAAACAATAATTGGATGATTTAGGTTGGAAAAGCTAGTAGTCGCTTATACACTGAAAAAAAATCCTCGGCGTTTTTACCAAGGCCCGTTGGTATACCTTTACCATCTCACTTTTTTTACCAATTATTGGTAATTTTACCAAGACTGGTAAGTTTACCTAAAAACCGGTATTTTTACTGTTTTTTTCATGTAAGAATACCACTTTTATTGGTAATCAATTTCCGCTAACTTTGCCATTTTATCTCGGTAATTCTACCACAGTCGATAAACAATATTGGTTTTACCAAGGTCCATTTGTTACCAATTGGTTTTACCAAAAAAATTTTACCAAGGTCCAGTAAAATTACCGAGAAAGTTCAATAATTTTACCGATATTTCTTGGTAAAATTACCAATTCCATAAATGGCAATTTTACCAAGAAAAAACAGGGATCAAACAGAACCCTGAATTCTTGGTAATTTCACCCTTCTTATTAGTAAATACACCGAGATTCTTTTTTCAGTGTAGTCTTCTTCTTACTCTTTTTTCTTCTTCTTACTTTCTCTCTTCTTCTTGCTCTTTTTTCTTCTTCTTATTTTTACCACTCTTCCTTTTATCTTCTTCGTATCCTGTCTCTATTATTTGAAAGAAAGAAAACTGGGCCGACTCCTTAAAAAATTAAAAACAGGAGCTAAAATTCTGCACGAATTAAATAAAATCAGTTGCTTTCGCTAGGTTGACATCTTGCTGAATTTTCTAAGTTATCCTTGTAAGACCATCAGAAGTTCTTTCGATGAACTGCAGCTAATTTATCGAACGATTAGATTCTTGGACGCAGAATTAAAAGAAATATGTCATGAATCTCACAAAGAATTAGTCACATTTACAGAGATAATTAGAAATATTGTGACGCGCATCACATGATTTTAATGACGAACATGACATGATGATATGACATAAATAATATTGTGATGTTGTAGACGATTTTACAGTATTTAGTGGGAGATACGAGACATTCACTGTGCATCTTTTTCATATTACATGAGTGTCGTAAGAGAAAATCGCTAATAACGCCTGGATGCAACTATTGGTACTCGATGGATGTCTGTTTTGCATAAGCGAAAAATTGAAGGCGATTTGCCAGCCATTTCTCTCACAGCTGATGCGCGCGAATGTAAGGGAAAGTAACACATGATGCAAGTGACGACAAAGGAAAAAGCAAAGCTCTGCTGTATTTCCTAATTTGTATTTGAAAACTTTGCTAATGAAGGTTGTCCATTGTTTAAATCAGTTTCATTGATTGCGATTTTTTTTCCGTCAAAAGATGTAATACCTTCTTCATTTTCAGACATGGTTGGTAAATCTCAAAAAGCGCTTGCCAATCCATGCGTCTAATCGTCGTTCTACGAACAAGGGAATGGAACTGCAATCTATAGTTGCAAAATTGACTCAAAAAAATTCAATTTTTCACAAGGATGAACCTGTGCAATTTTTGTTCAACATTTTTCTGATTTTTGCCTGGGATTAGAAGGAAAATCAAGGAAACTTTTAGTGAGAAATGCCCAAGATTGTCCTGATGGAAATTCAAATTGTGAGGGAAAATTTGGTAACATCGAAATGTTGTTACGTTATTTTTGAGGTGAACGATTAATGCTATTTACTATTTTCAGTGGAAAAATTTGCATTCGGAGTTTTTATCAATAGCCTTGTCATTTGGGAACATATTCAATATTAGCTGTTATTTGTATGTTAAGTTTTTTCTGGCGGAAAATTCCACAGATGAAGACTATTAGAACCTATCAAACTATTTGTTTTACACCAAGAATTAGAGATTTCCTTGGTGTGGGGAAATAAATCCATTCGACGCTCACACGATGCAGGCGACCGCAGAATGCGGTTACCTAATCGAAGGCAATTAATTTTTTTTACACCAGTGACGGTGCACGTACTGATTCCTCCTCTGATTCACTGTGACCTTCGCCACGTTTTAGAACCTTTAAAAGAGAGGCAAAAAAAAACATTAAAAAGCGGAAGTTTCCGACAGGAATAACCTTTTGAATCGCTATATATAACATTTCTTTTTTCCTGCAAAAAGGCAGAACATCGCAAGCGGGAAAGCTTGCTGGACTTTCCGGAGGAATATCTTTTGAACGAAATTTTCTGGTCAAGTTCGAGATCTATCAGGTTGCTGAAACGTGCTTATCGAACAACTTTGAAAACACAGAATAATTACCAAGAATGCCGTAGAACATAACAAATGGCACGGACCAACTATCAAAAATACCGTAAAATTACCAGAAACACGATGATTTTACCAGAACATCATCTAAAATTACCAGAGATTTTAAAATGATCGAAAAATAAAAGAGGTTTTCAGAAGAGGAAGAAGAAGAAGAAGGAGGAAGAGGAGGATGAGGAGGAGGAGGAGGAGGAAAATGAATGGACGGGTACAATGGGGGAAAATTATTCGAATCAAAAGGAACTTCCATTGAATTTTCTCCGCGGAAGAATTTCGGTTGCTCTAAAAGAAATTTCAGTTGTTTTTAATTTAATCATGAGGAAGTGTTCATTCGTTTAAAGAAGAGTAAAACTTTTTCAAATGGTAGTAATTTGTTTCGAAGCATCCTGAAATCCTGAGCGGAATGTATTCCACGAAAGCTCCCTCTGAATGAAAAGGCAACGCTCCTGGGTAGGGTACGCTGCTCCAGAACTGACGAACAAAAGCAGAGCAACCGGAAAACAGCGCTGAACACGAGGATCCAGTAAGCGGCGTGGCACGGAAAACAAGACTAAAACGCTGAACACACAGTTCGCTCTGTTAACAACGTCAGTTAACATCGGATGCAGATCTCCAGATCGGAGATCCCGTACCTGAATGTTTGAATCTGTGGTTGCAGCACTTCCCCGGTAGTGAGATGTCTTTGAATCCCCCTCATACTCCAACGCTCGGTAGTTTGCATAATTTGTTGCCGTACAAACCCGAAATTCGATCTTTTTCCTCCGCGCTCATTCTTTTTTTCCTTTCTTTTTCTTCCTTCTTTCATTTTGGAATAATCCAAGAGAACATCCAGATTCGCAGGCAACGTTTTACCCAACACAAAAAATTGCATAGTAAAACGATTTTTAATGGAGTATGAAAAAAATTAGTGGGTAACCCGATTCCTATGTGGTGTTTCGCTGATCTGTTATAAAACGAACGGGGACCCAAGTAGCACAAAGTAACATAACTCTTGATATAATTTTTATTAATGAAATTGCAATTTTTTTACATCATTTTTTGATCAGTGAACGCTGAATTTAAATGATCGACTAAATGAGTTCCATATGTAAAGAAGAAAGGCGATTTGCGATGCAAATATAATGTCAACATATATTAATTTAATTTATATAACTTTAGTAGCCCCTTCGATCAGTGTGTTGACGCAACATACACGACATTACGGCCCAATAGCAATAATTTTACCATGGACCTTACAAAATTGCAATATTTTTATATAATTTGATTAATGAATGCCGATTTTAAATCATCAATAAAATGAGTTCCATTTGTGAAAAAAGTAAGCAATTTGCGGTGCAAAAAAGTTTCAATTTATTTCAATTTATTGCGATAACTTTAGTAGCCTCTTCAATTAGTGAACAGACAACTTACACAACATTCCGACCCAATAGAAAAAAATTGACCATTTAATTGCAATCAATCGCAATCTGTGCTACGTAAGATTAGCTATTAACGGTTTGACCATTGCTATTAAATTAATTAAAGGGACTAAAAAGAGGTGTTAACCGGCTAGGAAAATACGTCGCTTTAATTTGGAGTGTGACTGGATCCACTGCTCGGAGAAATACTTTGACAAGTTGTCTGGGATTGAAACATTTTTTTCTAGTATGAGACGTGCTTTACAATTCTGCATTTACGATTACTTTCTCTCGCATCTTCGAGCTTTGTTTCTCCGCACTCTTCTACTGCTCCTAACTCGTGGTGTTTCAGTAATAAACCCTAGACATTAAAAAGCGGTCCATTCAGCCGAGGAAGTATTGTTGAGCTTCCGCAAAAAGGACAAATGTTTGATCTAATTTGGAATTGGTGTAAATACGACCCAAAAACGCCAAGACCGCTGAAAAATCGAGTGATACAGAAACGAACCTGATCATGATTTCTGTCAATGTGCGAAGGAATGCAAATTTCTACCTTTTTTTATTTTTTCCATAATCCTTAGTGGAATTATCCCTCTTATTTACTTGCTTGAATGGTTCTTTGTATCTATAATATGCTTTATCCGCTTTCAAATTTAAATCATATGGTTGTATCAAGTATGCACTAGCTGCTGTAAGTTGAACCACAAACTCAGGAAAATTTCGAAAACAGGAATTCAATAAAGAGAGATTAAACTCTTTCAATCGAACAGGTCAAGATATTTTATGGATTACACCGCTAGTCGTCTAATACACGTTAATTGACCTTGATTTATATGCCTCTTGGTGATTTAACCAACATACCAAGTTGTCTGAGCTATTTAGGGTGGAGTTCAACGAAAAAGTAAAACACGATATCCTGTCTTAATCACGCTAATTTTCCTACTCACTTACCTGAGTTTTCTACGAAATATTTGACCTAAATGTTAAATTTTCATTCAATTCTAATTATAGCGCTATTTGGTGATTCACCATCATTTTATTCGAATATAGCTCTTTACAGTTTCATCCTTTTTTCCCACCATAAGCGTAGATCTACAAAACACACCCATTCTGGATCACTGAATTGTGGTTCTCTATCGCCAGAGGGTGCATTTTAATTTATCCCACTTAAAATTCTAACATTTCAATGCAAAAGTGCACTAAAAGTGGAGATTGTGGCGTCATGATGTTTAAGCTGCCATTTATACGAAAAACGGCATATGAGCCGTCAAAGTTTGCCAAATTTCCGCCAATAAAATATTCATTACTCGTCTGGGACATAATTATATGCATTGACGAGTTAACTCGCACCTGTCGCAACATCTTGCATTGTTGCTAGGCGATTTATTTTTTTCGTATTTCTACAAATCGTGGATAGATAGCGCTATTCGCACTGTTCTAAATATCATTCTGGAGTACTCTGTTGTCTACCTAAATGAATTCTGGCGATTTTTACTTTTTTTTCATATAGAGCAACAAAGTATTTCTACTGAAAGAAATCATTGTATTTCTAGGCGCGGCAGGCAAATTAATCATTGCATGCGAATGGGTCAAATTTTCCTTTAATACCATCAGATATTTTAATTCAAACAGCGCATGAAAGTTCCTAAAAACTTGATGAAATATAAACACAATTAAAGTTTCTCTCAAAATTCATGTCCAAACGAAGGAAATTTGGCAACGTTGAAAGGCTCATACAACGTTTTTCCCGAGCCCTGCATTAAACTGACAGGATCGACGGGTTGCAATTTGGCCCGATTTCTCGAACCCATGTAGCTGTTATGAAATGGGGCCGTTTCGAAAGGGGCGAGGGAGTGTTTCTGGGTGGAGGTCGGGAGTTTTTGATGGGATGTTGAGCGTTGCTAACGTTGTTGTTTTCTGTTGCAGCGGTGACAGTGAGGTACCTGACGAAGAGGTACATCGGCGAGTACAGCTCCACCACCGGTGAGTCACGATCAGTTTCATTTCGCACACTACACACGCGCTCGACGTTGCCGATTTTCTACAAAAAACAAGTTAAAAAGCGGGCCAACAAGGCTAAAATGGAGATGTTGCATGTGTGAGGAATCTGCGATTTGACTGTTGATTCATATGTAAAAGTTCGCGAGAAACACGGTGGGGCCACTTCTTTTCTCTGAAATCAACTCCCAAGCTCAAAAAAAAACTATCCAAGTTGAGGCCAAAATGGAGGGGATATCCCACGCTATCCTGAGAGTCCACCTCTACATCAAAACAAAATTTCCATGCAAAAAATAGGGAGTAAGTACATTAGTAGGGTTGTCGTGTTTTCAGTTTTGGAGTCCCCAAATAAAGTGACAGCCCTGTCAATATATTTGCTTCCTATCTTTGCATGGAGAGTTTGTCTTGATGTAGAGGTGGACTCTCAGGATAGGGCGGGATATCCCCTCCATTTTGGCCTCAACTTGAGAGCTTTTTTTGAGCTTGGGAGTTGATTTCAGAGAAAACCAGTGGCACCATCGCGTTTCTCGTGAAGTTTTACATAGAATCAACAGTCAAATCGCAAGTTCCTCACACATGCAACATCTCGTCAGCTGAAAAAATGGAACCAATTGATGCGATATATTGCATGCCGTTCTGACGCAAAATATGGCGTCCATCGAATCACCTTAATGAGAAGAGAACGTTATCTTATATCTCGCCCTATTTAATTTTTTGGCATTTTCTCTAAGGGAACAAGTGCCTGTTCATTGTGCTTTTCTTTTAGAATCAGCTCACGAAACGAAATCCTTGGAGCTCCGTTACGATGGCTCCGTTCGTCCGTGAATCAAATTACATCCGATCGCGAAAATTAGCCTGCTATCGATCCGGCCTTCTCCGGGAACGAGATGTCCCACGGCAAAGTAGTGGTATTTGAAAGTTCAATCCAGATCGAACCTCGATCAATATGTCAGGTCGAGCCATCTCTCAAGGCGAAATTGTGTATTAAGTTTCCCGCTCTGGGATTCGCGCAGGACCTCGATATTACTGCCGTGCTAAGGAAAAACGCCGTATCAACATGCGAAAGTTGCTAAATTTCCCCGGATAAAACATGTATTTTTGAAGAAAGTTATGTATATATTTCTCCTTGAAATTTTCTGACTTTTTTGATAAAACTACGAGCAAAATTCTCTTAAAAAGTGGAGAAAAAATATTCACAAATTTTCCTGAGAACTGCTGATTTGTCGGAGGAAATTTGGCAACGCCTAAAGACTCATACGGCGTTTTTCCTTAGCACGGCAGCATCAGGATAAGGCACCACTGGAAAACATCAATTCATCGTCGACCGAGTTAGCAACTGTGAGTGGTTGCCGCAGGTGCTTTGAAACCAACATTTGATTTGTGGGGCTTAATGTGAGACGAAGCATCCGTGTATTTTGCTCGGAGACAAAATTTGCAAAAAAAAACACATTGGATCTAGAGTCCAGACTCTTGAAAACATTGACAAGAAAAAATACTCTTGATTCAATCGGATTTTTGCTTGAATCAAAACGAAATCCGCTTAAATTAGGAGGCTTGGTTCTTGATTTAAGCTAGATTCTGATTGAATCAAGAGTACTTTTTCTTGTCGATGTTTTTAAGAGTCTGGACTCTAGATCCAATGTGTTCTTTTTTCCAGAGCATTGATTGAAAACCTTTAACATTTTGGAGGATCAACTCCCTCATGTACCTCTAAACTTGCATTTCTGCCACTCGATTTTCATTTATTCGGCTGAAGCCTGAAAAATAGTCTATAGTGGTGTGCGATATGTCACTTTTGTCAAAACATAGACCTGCTGTGCCTTTTTGCTGAAAAAAAAACACATTGGATCTAGAGTCCTAGACAGAGGCGCACCGAAAAAAACACATTGGATCTAGAGTCCAGACTCTTAAACACATCGACAAGAAAAAATACTCTTCATTCAATCGGATTTTTGCTTAAATCAAGGACCGAGCCTCTTAATTTGAGCGGATTTCCTTTAGATTTAACCAAAAATCTGATAGAATCAAGAGTATTTTTTTTGTCAATGTTTTCAAGAGTCTGGACTCTAGATCCAATGTATTTTTTTCCAGTGCACATTTTAAAACCCAATTGGCAACGATTGCGGGACTTATTGTCTGCTGCACCGCACGCCAATATCCTCGTGATGCGTTCAATGGAGGCCATCGACAGCGTCGCGTCTGATTATTAGCGCTGAACACCGCCTCACTCGGCAAAAACCGCTTAACTTCAACGGAAACGCGATGAAGAAACGCGGTTTCTGCCAAACACGGCTGAACAAGAATCCAATTACTTCATCCATCGGGTCTGCGTTTCGCTGGGACCCGATACCTGATCCCTTGTCTCATTTCCAGAATTGGATCTCCACCCCCTAGTTCCATTCTTCCACGCTGTAATTTACACCCCTTTGCTCTCCTACTCTGCCCCATTTTTATCTTGATTTTCGTATCGCCTCTCATTTGTCTGTTAAAGACCTCGCTCGAGTCGGCGCGGTGGACTAAATGAACGTATTTCTGCGAAACGGAACTATGTGCATTATGACGTGAGCCCTGTTATGCATGTATTCTTATGGATCTCAGGGCTCATGTCTTAAAGCACATAGTTCCGTTTGATAGAAATACGTCCAAATATGAGTCAGAAGACGTCGAATTGGATTTCACTTTGCAATGAAGAATCACTATTGTTGGTTCGCCCATAAAATCACCTATCTACAAAGAGAAAATAATGACACATGTATTGTTCTATAGTGAATCTAAAAGACGGTGATTTTTTATTGCAAAATATAATTTAGTCGATGTCTGGGCCATCTCACCACTCATCTGGTCGATACTTGTTAGAACTCTCTGCTTTACACCGTTTTGGTCGCTTACTGGGGGAAAAAAATAGTGACAAACATGTGTATGAAAATAAGAGGTTTATAAAAATAATTTATATGACCGGACAATAGCGCCTACTGCACTAAACATAGTGCTGAAATATCAAGGAAAGATATCCAAATATCTGCCCTTTTCTGCGAAAATTAAGCATGGTGGAATCAGGGCCGGATTTATCTACTTGCCGCCCATGGGCCGCCTGTATTTTGCCGTCCCTTCTCATTTGTTTTGAAACATCGATACAAACCATCAAGTGAACGTGCCGAAGGAGGAGAAGTACATGAGACGCGTTTACTCGTGTTGGGCACATTTTTTGTGATAGCCCTGTCAACACTAGCAAAAATTAAGTTCCGTAAACCTATCTCTGTGTGGACGAAGCCTTTCATTTATAAGAAAAGAACGAAAAAATTATAAAAAAATAAACACGAATGTGGTTTAATGATTTTAATTTTCGCTACCGCGCCAACCGCACTGTGTTTAGCGCAATGCGCGAAGTATCCCTACAGTCTTGTAGGCGCTACGCGTTTCACGCCGACCGCTGCTGACCGCACTACGTTTGACACAATGCGTGAAGTATCCATGCAGTCTTGTAGGCACTATAAGTTTCACGCCAACCGCTACTGACGACACTACGTTGAACGCAATGTGTGAAGTGTTCATAGAGTCTTGTAGGCGCTAAAATGTGTTTCATGCTGACCGGCACGGCGGCGCGCCGAGGGCTTCTCCTTTCCATATTCCTTTCTTCCTTTCTTCCTTTCTTCCTTTCTTCCTTTCTTCCTTTCTTCCTTTCTTCCTTTCTTCCTTTTTTCCTTTCTTCCTCTCTCCCTTTCTTCCTATCTTCCTGTATTTCTCTCTTCCTCTCCTCCTCTCTTCCTCTCTTCTTCCTTTCTTCCTTCCTCCTTCTTTCTTCCTTCCTCCTTTCTTTCCTCCCCTTTGCTCTCCCCTTATTCTCGGGCAAAGAAGAGGGGGGGGGGGGGCGNCGCCTATGTCGCTCGGCGCTCCGTAACCCTTTCCCCTGCTCCTCCGATTTTCTCGGCGTCCCCCTCCGTCAAACCTCCGTTCACGAACAAGCTCGACTCCCGGGCCGGGCGTTTACCGACGAAAGCGAATCTGGTTCGGGGAATCGATCATCGAAAGTGGGAGATGGGCCTGGAACCCGCTTTTCGCATCGTGATTTACGGTCCGCCGCACAGTGCGGCACTCCGTGGACAAAAATCGAAAAAGTCGTCAAAATTTTTTTTTTAAAAATGCACAATTTTTCTTGATATTCATGGTGAGGAACGTTTTTCTGACAAGGAATGATACTTTATTTGTGATTTTCATTCGTAGATCACCATGGATAAGCGGGAAAAGTTGAAGGAAAAATCTCGGGAATGAATTTCCCCATTGAAAACATATGGGGAAAAGACTAAAAACTTAAAATGACTTTTCTCGAGAAATACTCAAAATACTCCTGGACGTTGACATTTTCTTATTCCTTATGTATCCTACTTTGATCGTGCCAAAGGGTTTTCCTATGTTGCTGCTAATATCTTTGTTATAAGAAGTTAAAGTTTGGGTATTTGACGTTGTTTTTACATTGCTAACATAGGGCTGATTCGAGGTTGCCAACTTTAGATGAACTTTTCTCGAGAAATACTCAAAATACTCCTGGACGTTAACATTTTCTTATTCCTTATATGTCCTAGAATGACTGTGCCAAAGGATTTTCCTATGTTGCTGCTAATAATTTTTTTATAAGAACTTTAAATTTGAGTAATGAGTGCATACGTGGATTTTACATGGGTAGCATAGGGCTTATTTGAGGTTGCCAACTTCAAATGGACTTTTCTCGAGAAATACGCAAAATATCCTGAGATATTAGCATTTTCTTATTCCTTATATGTCCTAGAATAACTGTGCCAAAGGATTTTCCCATGTTGCTGCTACTTTCTTTGTTATTTGAAGTTTAGTGTTATGTTTTCAACCTAAAATGCATCAATTTTTGAAGGCGGCAACATAGTACGGGTTTTCCCATGCGGGAATTCCCAAATCCCGCTGGACAGCGTTCATGGTAAATAAAACAAAGTTCAAAAGTTGTGTCTTGTGTGTGT